CGCGTTTAACACCTCTCCTCTCCCAGCTATTAATATGGTAATTTATGGCCGAAACAGCAACGCAACATAAATCTGCAACGGCCCAAAGATGCCTGGGAAATGTGTGTGTGCCCGCCTGGTTTTCCCATGGATCTGGTTTTGTTATGCCCTCCACTCGACTCTGCTCAAGTGTCGTAATGAGGAATCCGACCGAGAACCCTGCTCCTACTCCTGATCCCCACCCCAAAGCACATTATTGGGAATGCAAATGAGATGCGTGCGCCCAAATTGAAATGGCAAATGTTGACAGCGCCAACATAGCGCCCGAAATTCAAAGTTAATAAACGAGATATTTATGTAAGGAAGTGCTCAGCGAGGATGTGAGTTAACTATGTGTTCCCACATAAATACTGGATGTTTCCAGCAAAGACAAGGTGGATCAATAGGTCAGGTCCCTGAGAGTCTCAATTATTTGTTGTCTGTCTGGCTTTGATGGGGTCAATAGGTGGGACTCTATAGATATATAGATATGTATGTATATAGATGTGCCAATAGATAGTCAGTAATATCAGTTATCACCGTATTCAACTATCAAAAAATAATCAAAGATATTCTTCATAAAATAAATAAAAGGAATTATGCTCAGTTCTTGGGGAAACTTTTCACAAAAAGTTGTGTAATTAAGCACAAGAATTATTTATTCATCTAAAAATTTAATTATGAAATATACTTTATGGTGATAATATTTTTCAAGAGCCACCCTAATCCCGAGGCAAGTGGATTCTTGCCCCAACTGCTGGGGAATGACATAAACATATTTATGAATTTTCTATTCTGCATTGCGTTTTTGATTGTCCCAAGTGCGAATATGAATGGAAATGGGTGCCGAGGTGGAAATCCGGGGAGTAGTCTCATTTGCATTAGCCCCCCAGAAGCCGATGAGGAGGAGGTAAAGCCAGAGGAGGAGCCAGAGGAGGATCCAAAGTCGAAGCCTGAGACGGAGGCGGCTGCTGATTAACATAAAATTAAGCGTTCGAAAGGCATGCGGCAATGGGGTTTCGGAATCCGTATTAGCAGCTCGGGAAGCCGCCCCCCTTGAACTCCCCGTAACCCCCGGAATCGGAGCGGAGGAGGAGTGCGAGTGCCAGTGGCAGGGCTGGGCGCTGGCTGATAAGCCGCGGCGCGGCGATAAGCGCATTTAATTAGCATTAATTAAAGCGAATTGCGAGACTCTCGGGCGCAAAACTAATAGCAGCAACTGAAATAAACAGGCCCAGGCAGGGGCAAGTACCGGGGAGGCCCAGTTTTGTGAAAGCGGCGGGGCAATGCTAATAGAAATGACAATTGTGCTCGGCAATCAATGGTTTTTTTCGGAGCACTCGCCCACAGTGTACATAGGTAATGCAGGCCAAAAGTTTTGGATTAAATCTCAGTGGGGGGTTTTAGCTGGTTTTCAAAAGTAATACGCTTATTAAAAGTCAACAAAAGGTTGATGTTTCCATTATATTTTCAATACTTTTGTGGATGAATCTCTGTTTAAATGGTGTATAAAGTAAGATACATTTTTGTATTAATTTTTATATATTTTTATTTATGCTTTTTTATGCACTCTTGCCCCACTATGCAGCACATGACTAATTATTTATCTTGTAAATCAGGTCGAAATATTATATAGAATTAATAGTAATTATCTTTATTATATTCTTTATTTAATTAGAAAATAAAATCAACTGAAAAGAAGGTGTAACGAATTAAGCAATTAAACTAAAAACTAAAACATGAAACAAAATTAATAAATATTTAATAATAAATATATACAATAAATTATAAATTTATGTAATATTATATCAAGTAATCTCTTCTTATTTTCACCCCCAAAGAAATCACTTTAGAGTACCTGCGGCACCTGCCAGATCGCTTTGTGGTGTCTTCACAGCAATTCGACGCACTGTGCGCCTTGCGGCAGAAGAAAGCGGATTGCGTAATAGCTGCGTCATTATATAAAGCGGTGGCCACGATGCTCAGAAAGAGACGGAGAAGAGGCTGAGAGAAAGAGAGAGATACATATGTATGTGGACAGGGACTGGACCCGCATAATTGTGCGACTTCACCTGAAACCGCGTCGCGTCAAGGGCCCCCTGCTCTCTCTCTCTCCCTCTCCATTGCTCCGCCGTCGAATGTGGGCGAGGCCAGGGCGCAGCAGCAACAAAAAATAAATAAATAAAATAAACAAATAAGAAAAAAAAAAAGAGACCAACATCAGCCACAGCTCTCGGCGGCTGAGCAGAAAAACACCTCATGCCATTGGAATGCAATTTCACTTCTTTAAATATTTTCTCAATTGTTTTGTGCGTGTCGGATTGGGATCTGCCTTGGGATCAGGTTATCCCAGTTTGGCCACACCAAAGAGGCTTTACTGTGCCTCAAAAATAGCTGCAAATATAGGCAACCTAACAGGCAAATAATATTTAATTTATTGAGAAAAATCACAGGTTGTTTATTAAAGAGTAAATTGTGTTGAAATCCCTTGCTTGTTGTGACATCTCAAAATAAAAAAAAAATAGTTGGGATAGTACCAAATAAATCTCATAGATATAGTAGTAAAATTTCTTAGATTTTCAGATCATATTATCAATGCATTCCACTATTAAGCATTGTCTTGGGAGTTTAAGTTGGGCCATAAAGTGTTTTTATGGCTCAGTAAATACCAAAGAGTCTAAGAAAGTGTCAAGTTTGAGACTTGACCCTCCTCTTAACCGAATGAAAAACTCAAAGCTAAAGACTTGACATATTAAATTTCCCTTGTTAGTCTTGGAAATTCATTTAGAGTTTCAGTTGCATTCAAGGAATATAGGTTTTACGGATATTAAGGTTCATTGATGAGTTTCATCAGTGATTCACTGATAACTGTACAAACAACCTGATTTTTATATAGTAAAGCCATCTGACTAGACTTTGAATTTATGTTTGACTTCTTCATCTAAGGCCTTTTCCGACTAGTATCCACTTTAATTTCCATATAATATAAAGGCTTTTACCCTTCATAAAGTGACAATCGACCAGGAAAGTGGCACCTGGTCTTACCAAACTCTGACACAGCCAGGGCCTGGCGGATTGACTTCTTTCTCTTTGGTTTTTGGACTCTTATCACCATCAAGCCAAAGGCCCTTTGGCGATGCACCCATTCAGAGCTTGGACGAGGCAAAGCGAAAGGAAGGCAGTCAGCAACTGGCGAGTCGAGGAAGTAAAAGCGCAAATAATTGCGAGCGACCAAAACTGAATGAAAACAAAATCGTTGGATTTTGTATAGATGGATATGTAGACATGTACAGGTATATATAGGTAGGTAAGACTGCATGGAGATATTTTTGTAAATTTGTAATGACAAAGGCAAAGCGTCGGACAACAGATACGGCGGATAAATATTGCCACTTAAGTTGCATGTTGCTAGTAGATGTTGCTGTTGCTGTTGCTGTTCCTAGTCACCAGTTGCTGCTGCGACTGGTCACAAGATGCAACAGCCAGGAAGTCCAAACTTGGCCGCAGCAGCAGCAGCAGCAGCAGCAGTGAAGTAACCTGGCCAGGAGGGAAGAGGGTCACCAAATGACCAGCCTGCGGCTTTTATTTTCTCGTCAATACCCTCACAGAGAGTTGTGCCACTTATCGGCATGGCTTAATTGTTAAATGATCAAGGGTATTTTGAGAATTCGGTATTGCTGAAGCAGAAGGAGTAGATTCCTTTGCAGGTTACTTTCCAGTTTTTTTTTGGGTTTTTGCCTGTCTGGAAAGTCTTTGGATGGATCATGATGAGACTGAGACTGAGACTGGGACTGAGACTGAGACTGAGGTCGGGGTTGCAGGCAATAACGATGACGATGATGATGATGCCACAAAGTCACAGACTGCGGAGAAAGAGAGACTTGGCCCAAGAAATGCAAATGAAAGCGAAATCGAGTCACGCGAAGGCTGTCGCGGGAGGAAAACTTGATCTCTCGAGTGAGCTGAGTGCTGCGGGGGGGAAGCTCTTTTATGACTCAACTTTGTGTGGAAGAAGAAACCGAAGACCGAAAACCAAAAACCAAAAACCGGGGGCTATATCGGACATTGTGGCAAGTGTGTTGACACTGTTCTACTGACAGTTTGGCCCAATGAAGTCACTCCTGAATATTGGCCGGCTTTGTGGCCCAGAAAATCAGGTTAAGTTGAGTAATGTGTTTGGGAAATTGTTTGGAAATTATGTGAAGGCCATAGAAGAGGCTGTCTTTAAATTAATTCTTTATTTTAAAAGGCTAGAAAGCATGGAGGGGATTTCAATGGAGTTAAAGAGAGTCGTAATTAAATTTCTTTAAATAAATTAATTTGGCAAACAATATATTTATATTAGGCTAATTTTACACATTCACCGCCTTCTCTTCTTAGCTTAGCCTTATTCATTTACCATATTTTTAAGTACTTGAAAGCCAGCGTTTGCTGACATTTCATTTTCATAAACATTTCCTGGCTGACTGCCACTTGACTTGAGCTCGGAAAGCCATTAGGCGTTCAAGGCTTCGCTCTGTGATCTGCCAGCTCCGAACTCCGCACTCCGAACTCCAACCTGCGGAGATCCTCGATCTCCGGGCAGCCCAAGGGTGCCAGTATCGATGTGAAAACATTTGCAAAACTGGTCGCGAGAGGGAATCTCGAACACTCTCTGCCTCGCGGACCCTTTTGGGGCGAGCACTTGCTCATTTGGTTTTTACATTTACGAAATTTCTTCACTTTCTGTTTCGCTGGAGATTGGTCTTGGGCTTGGGCCTGGGCTTGGGCTTGGGCTGGGGATTCCGATTCGAACTCCGACTCGGACCCAGACTCCGATTCGGTTTTGGATTGGGATTCGGTTTGGGTTTCGGTTTCGGTTTCGGTTTCGAACTCGGCGCATCTGCGGCTGCGCGGCCGCTCGGCGGCAGCGACGCCGGCGCCGGAGTATTACCTATATGAGCTCGCGTTATCATCCGAGCGGCAGCATTTTCAACTCGCGAGTGACGAGCAGCGGACGTCGCGAGATCCGAATCCGATCACCCGCAATCAGAACCGAAACCGAGGCGCTCCGGCCCGCCCAAAACGAATCGAAACCCAAAATAACCGCTTCGCGAATTTGTATTTATTTTGTATATATTTTTGTCTTTGTGAGTCCTGTGTTTTTTGCGAAACCACCACGCATTTTTTTCGAGTGCTCTGTGTGCCGAGGATAACGAAATATAAACACCAGCTGCTGGGATGGTAAAGAAATGCTTCCTAATTGGACTCGAGTGCAAAAAAGGATTATTACAGAGGAAACTCAAACACAAGGCCAATTAGGCAACAAAAAAATTTAAGAAAAACTCAAGGAAATCCCCACAAAACATAGATGGATGGGACTTTCCAAGTTGCGAATAAATAACCCAAAGGAGACAGTTTTGAAAAGGATATGGTAGCAAGAAAGTTTATCTGGGGAATGGAGAAAATAATGGGACTTGGGCTTGAACTAGGATATTAATGATTACAGACTGGGCTTAATGACACATTTATTGTCCTTTGACTTGGCTATCTGTTTAATATTTTCCAACCAGACTTGCCAAGAAACTTGAGGGAAAATTCATGTAAATTCGATCTTGCTTATTTACCCTACTTTTTGGATTTCCTTCAGAAAGCCACGCCTGCGCTTTAACCCCATGACCTTGGGCTACAACCCCCCAAAAACTAATTGATGAGGGTTTTCCCGGAGCTCCTAATGAAAATTGATGCAGGACCTGAAATGTACAGGAATCCTGCCCCGGATTATTCATTTGTCGAAGCCAATGTCGGCAGGGGGGCCCAGGTCTGGGGCTCTGTGTCTACAGATTTAATTTATTCATTATCGAAATTGATTCATAAATAATTTCGCATTCTGAGGGGGAAATTTAATTAACGCAGATTACGATTCCCGACTTTTGGGCCCGGTCTTTGGAGCCAGCTGTGGCTAAAACTTTGCCGCACGCAGGGATATGTCTCCCGGGCAACCCTTTGACCCAGTCCAGAGTCCAGAGGCCTTTGTGTTGTTCATCTTTGAATTAAATTTGCGTTTTCTTGGCAAGAGAGACAGGGCGAGAGAGAGAGAGAGTGAAAGTTTCGCCGGCCATTTGTATGTTTATATGTTTATTTGTTTTTCTGCCGCCGCCGCAGCCGCCGCTCATTTGTTTGCCGCTGCCGCTGTCTGCCATTGCTGTCAATTGTTTAGCATCAATAACAAATATTTGTGGCTTATGCTAATGAACAGAAATCGAACGCCGGCGGTCCAAGTCGAAGAAAGCGGCCCTCAGCATGAACTGTGACCGGTAACAGGGGACTAGCAGTCAGGTGGTGTAAACGAAGGCATACAGCCAGCATCGGGCCACTAAGTTCACTATTACAACATAAAGTCATGGTCATGCCAGAGAGATTTATTACTAACTGAACCCTTCCACATAAACTCATTAATCTGTGAAAGATATCAGTATCTTTAAGTGCAATCCCATTGCTATTATCTTGAGCACAACTGTTCAAAGAGGCAGCCCAATGAGATTGAGCCAGTGCCGGCCACATCCGGGTCACTTCACACGGTTCACTGAGACAATGGGGCACAGAAGCAGCCCGCACCTTTTAATTGTTTGCCATTTCTTTTATAATGTATTTTCATTATGCGGCGCATAATTTCACTGCCAACATTTGTGACACCTACTCATCCCCGCACTCGCGAGATGCGTGGAGCGGCGGCCAAAGATACAAAGATACATATACACCGGCGCGAAGAAGTGAAAGTTAAGTTTTCGGCACTCCCCTCCCTAGTCTCCCCCCAAGCTGCCGCTGCTTCTTCTCCAGGGCCGCTTATGACATTTTAACGCCGTCGCCGCTGGCCAAAAACCAAAAAGTGTTGGTAACAAAAAAAAAAAAAAAAAAAAAGAGTGGTAGTAACATCTTTTGCGGGCCATTGTAATGCCAGTATTCAATGCGCATCGCCCAGCCAATGAGCTGCACTTTTCCACTTTTCCATTTCAAAAGATCCCCGATAGCCGCCGTTGCGCAATGGGGAAAAGACCTGAAGATGGGTGTAAACATGGCCAAGAGACACAACAACTGAAAGAAGATAATGGTGGGGCTTAAGGGGGTTCTGTGTGAGGGGGGAAATAATGATGATGCATTATTCAATATTCCCTGTTTCTAGATTCTATATATTAATGATGATTAAGCAGGCCTAAGCTCGATTACTTACCTCCCAAAAATGTTGGCTTAAATGCCATAATTTCTCATCTCATATCGAAAATCTACCTTCACCACTTGCATCACACCGATCACTTTCGTTACGTAAGGGCATTTCGACTTCGTCACCTTCTGCGGTCGCTGATTCGCAGCTGAATGGTGTGCCCGGAATTTTGAAAGAAGCGCCAGCTGATATGCTTTCGGCCACTCTCGAGTGGCTTATTTGTTGTTAAACAAACTCGTAAAGCCAATTAAACTGCTTTCTGTGGCTTTGTTTTTGGCCTTTCAGTCTGTATTTCGCCGGCACGAATCGCCAACTGACTGGCTTACTGAATTATTGATGATCATGACGAGCCGGAGCATGAGCGGAGCGGTGACATCCATTCCGTCCACGATGATGGCCATGTCGGTGGCTATGTATATCATCATCGAAGTGCCTGATGACGATGATGGCTAATGACGTCTGCAACGCTGGCCGGGTTATGCTTTAATTAGAGCGTAATACTGGTACGCAGTGTGCCAATTACACCACGCAAGAGGCCAGGTCTCTTAATGTCTCTATTTGCGGCTCTTCGCTGCCCAAATTGGCAAACATGCAACCATTTCAGACAACTTATTTATTTAGTATAATAATAATGGGAAATTTGTTGGCTAATAATATGGGTTTTATTGGAATTGTTAGAATAAATATGAGGGATTTCGAAGACTTTGTGGTTGTAACTTAATTGATAACCTTGTTATATTTTATATTTCAAATTATTACCCTTCAAGAGAACCCAATTATTAATCTTAATTTAATTTTTTCAAGGCTTCCCTGCATAATTTTTTAATTAAAATTAATGCTTACAAGTTGAGTAACACCAAAATGTTTGTCTCAACCCTGATTAACGATTATTTAAGCCGTGAGTTTGCTGTTTAGTGTTGGCCAGGCCAGAAAATTGAGGCTGCTGGGGCTGGAAGTTGGCAAATTAGCGCAGATTATGGCCGCACACACGCACTGAAACACATAGTCAGTGGTTAAAAACGACACCTGACAAAGCCAACGAATAAACCGAGGACCTTTGACCCGTGATCCGGCCCTGCCTCGTCTTGACAGGCTGACAAGTTGCCGGCGGTCAGAAAAAGGTCACCGAGACAGCTGACAAATGAAGGGCCTGTTGAAGGGTTGAGGCCAGGCCGAGGACCGATGATGGACGGAAACTAGAGATAGCTTTGCTTCGGGGGATAGAATATACTTCCTGGGATATCTGGAAAGCTAGTTGAGACATCTGACCCAATTCCTAGTGACCACTTTCCGTTCTCAGACCTAATCTTAGCCCTTTCTGCTCCCCAATCTTCCCCAGATGCTGCTCCGAGTGACATTGCTGGCCACGCTCTGCTTCTGCGCCGCCCAGGCGGTCCTGAGTGGCAAGGAGCTGAAGCGCCGGGAAGCCGGCTTCGATACCTACGGGCCACCGCCGCGTCCCGCTCCCCAGTATGGACCACCGCCACAGCATGTGCCCCATCGGGAGTACGGTGTGCCCCAGCAGATTCCCTTCCGGGAGTACGGTCCTCCGGCCTTGAAGTATGGCCCTCCCAAGCTGAACTTCCTGGGAGGAGGAGGAGGCGGCGGTGGAGGCGGAAGCTCTCTGCACGAGCAGATCAAGACACACTTCGGTGTGCCCAAACCCTTCTACGGGCCGCCCCACATCCAGCACAAGCCTGCGCCCCAGTACGGACCCCCGCCTAAGCCCTCTCCCCAGTACGGACCTCCTCCTCAGCCTGCCCCCCAGTACGGACCTCCTCCGCCGCAGTACGGACCGCCGCCGCCGCAGAAGATCCAGCACCGCCCGGCTCCACAGTACGGACCACCAAAGCCTCAGTACGGACCTCCGCCGCCGCCACCACAGCTGCTGCCCTCGCCGCATGCAGCTCCTCTGTTCAAACCCGCCCACCAGCCGGCCACGTCGTACGGACCACCGGCTTCCGGACCGCTTAACCTGCCCCCCAAGCCCATCTACGACGCCCCTCCACCGAACTATGGCCCTCCGCCACTACCCGTGGCCCTGCCAGGACCTCCGCCGCCGGCCACCACCATTATCCTGCACGGAGGACACCATGGCGGACCTTCCGGACCCTCGGGACCGGGACCCAGTGGACCCGGGCCAGTGAAGCAGGTGCAGATCCAGATTGACGCCTCGGGACACACGCACAGCGTGAGCGGCTCTCAGGCTCCTTTCCACACGGCCTGCGACGGCTGGAAGCCAATCCCGGCTCCGATCGGCGCCTACGTGGAGCAGAACCACATTGAGACTCAGGGAGGCTACAGCCAGGTGGCCCAGGGACATGGCGGCGGTTTTGGAACCCAGTATAGCGTGGGAGGATCCTCCGGAGGCTCTGGAGCTGGCGGCAGCATCATCGACGGACTCTCGGACGAGCAGCTCGTGGCCGTGGCCCTCCAGGGCGGCAACGATGGTGCCCAGGTGATCACCGGACCCGGCGGTAACTCCATCGAAACGGAAACTCTGCAGGTGGGTATCCTAGGAACACCTGGGAGTGGGTAGATGATCCTGCAATGTGTAAATTATATTATTTTCGCTTACAGGCCGCCATTGGCTCCCTGGATGACTCGTACTCCAAGCCGCCATTGGACTCCTTCGACCCCCGGTCGGTGCATGCCCAGAAGTATCAGACCATTGGTCACTCCGGACCACAGGGTGGCAACTACGGACCACCGCCACCTCCTCCTAGCGGAAACTATGGACCTCCGCCAAGTGGAAACTACGGACCTCCGCCGCCACCTCCTCAGTTTGCAGCTCTGACCAGCAGCAGCCATGGCAGCCACTCCCACTCGCAGTCGCAGTCCAACGTGAATATCCAGTACGGACCACCTCCCTCCGGAAATCCACAGCCCTTCCCCCAGCATGGAGCCGGACAGCCCAACAAGCCGGTTGCCTACCGCCCGCCCGTGCCCGTCGGTCTGCTGGAATCCATTGGAGCCACGGTGCAGCATCTGGATCAGTTTGGAGTGAAGCCGCCACAGCAGCCCGCCACCTACATTCCCCCGGCCGCCAACGAAATCGCTCTGGCAGGATCTCCTCCATCTCTGCCCGCTCCCCAGGCTCTATACCAGCCTCCACCACCGCCCCAGGCCCAGCAGGTCATCCTGCAGCAGCAGCTGCCGGCACCGCAGCCAGGACCCGCCTTCGGACACCAGAAGCAGCAGTTCGGACCCCCGGAGCCCCAGTACCTGCCGCCTCCGCCGCCGCCAGTGGCCAACGTGCGTCCTCTGGGACCTCCGCCACCGCCCACCCAGCAGTACCTGCCAGCAGCTCCTCCACCGCCAGTCTTCTTCCAGCAGCAGCAGCAGCAGCATCACCACCACGCGGAGAACAGCTACAGCGCCTCCCAGTTCCATGCCCAGGGTCTGCCCCTACCCCAGCAGGCGCCTCGCTTCAGCCAGCTGCCCTTCCAGCAGCAGCAGCCCCAGCCCATCATCGTCCATGACTGCGGACACGGGCCCAATGTGGTGAGCAGCAGCGGCTACCAGGTCCAGCAGCAGCAGCAGGTGCAGCAGCTCCAGCAGCAGTTCGGCAGCGTGTCGGCCGCCTCCTCGGGAGCCTACAATGCCATCGCTCAGAGCATCCCAGTGGCGGAGCAGCACACCCAGCAACTGGTTTCGGGTCCGGCGGACAGCTACGGACCACCTCCCTCCGGCAACGACATTGACAGCTTCGACCACACCGGCTACGCCTCGCAGAAGAACGCGGTGGCCGCCCTGCCCGACGGCACCGATCCCCAGCAGCTGCCCGGCCTAGACGGACTCGATGTCCTCTCCGCCCAGAAGTCGCAGAGCATCCAGCTGGGTAATGGCCAGCAGCCGGCGCAGAACTTCCAAGTGCAGTTCGGCGGATCCCTGAACAACGCCCCCGGTGTGTCGAGCGGTGATGCCAATCACGAGGAGATCCTTTCTCAGGGCCTGCTGCAGTCCATCCTCACGGCCATCGAGCAGCCCCAGCAGCAGCAGCAGCAGGGTCTGCCCCAGAACCACAAAGCCCAGAGCCGCTCGGACGATCACGACCAGCAGGAGGACCAGCAGCAGGCGGACGACCACGAGGAGGAGGAGCAGTCCGTCAGCTCGTCAACCCGCGTGGAAGTGCGCGTGCTGCCGGAGAACCCCGACAACGAGGAGGAGACGCCCGCCGAGGTCAAGGAGATCGAGCCCATCGTGGTCAACGACGAGGAGGCCAAGCATTAGTCAGTCACTAGTTAGCATCGAACTCATCAGCGCCGCTTGAACCTATTTATTGCTGCCTCATCCGCGGACCTCCGCCCGCCCCCCAGTTGCCATAAAGTGAAAGTCCAGGGGCCGGGAGGGAGAGATCCGTCACCACATCACAGATCATCACGTCACAATCACAATCACAAACACACACACAAAGAGAACAAAGAAGCTACCATGGAAAGGCGCCTTTCATGCCCCAGCAGCTCGTGTATAAAAATATTTAAAGTAAATAATTAATTTATTATTACATTGTATTGTACTTTATGCTTTAAACAATAAATAAATATGTATACCAACGAAGGTGAAGACGAGTCGAAGGAAAGCTGCCAGCGAGTGCAACTGCAAGTCATCTTGAAAAACAGAAAACCATGTGGCCCGGCGGCACATCTGGCCAGCACAAAGAGCCCGGTCGATGGCCAGGCCCAGGGCCAAGGCGAAAGGTAGAAACCCGAGAGATCCGGTGGTCACTAGAGGTTCGTGTGAGTTCAAACGGTTTTGATGAAGCCCAAGGGAGCTGGCTTATAATAGAAATACATTATGAAAAGTGAGAGTCTTCAGCAGACTATATACAAAGTTTCATTCAGATAGCTTTTAAACTGAGTTACTAGTTTGCATAGACATGACTAGATCGACTGGGCTGTTGCTGCTGATCAAGAATATATATAATTTATAGGTTCTTTCCTTCTGACTGAAATTATAATAGCCTGCAAGGGTATAAAAATGAAACAAAGACCAGCACAAGGTTAATGAATAATTTTTCGACTATTCCGAAGGGTTGGACACACACCACCCCAGTCCATTCCCAACTCCCAACTCCCAACTCCCACTCGTGCTCACTTCTTATTTTTATTCCTTTTCCATTGCCATTTCCCTTTCAAATCCTTGGTATCCGTTTCCGCATCCGTATCCGACCTCTCCGGGGAGTGGGCCGACGCGGAGCAACAAGAAACAATAAAAGACATAAAATTAATTAAATTAGCCATAAACAAAGCGAAAGGTGATTAATTAACTAGAAATTTATACCGTTACATAAGCGAGCCAGGGCGGCATGGAAGACGTGCCGAGCCAAGTGTCCTGGAAGGTAATGAATGGGTTGGCCCGGCCTGCGCCGGTTAGGCGGACCTCTCGTCGCCTTATTTGCCCATTCATTAAAATTTGGTTGTTCTAGTTCTGGTCCTTCGTTTTCCCTGCCTGGTTACTGATTTTGGCCCACACTGAGAGAAATCAACTGGAGAAATTCGGAAGCTACTAAAGTTAAACAGCGGAACAGAATGTTTCAAGTTGATTGTAGCAGAAAATTTAAATATTATTTTAATCAATTTTAGGGATATGAAACGCTATCCCTTTAAAACCCAAGGAATCCCTCCACCTGAAAGGGTATACAACCTTCTACTTGCAACAATTCTTATCCTTTTTTGCCTTCCACGAAGCCGCTACCTTTGTTTGCCCAGCGAACGGAAGGAAGTCTCGCCGGACTCGTGGCTGGACTAAAGGAGAACCAGGAGTGGTGGAGGGGGATTTGTGGACTTTTAATTAATGTTATTAAAAAGTCAAAATGAGCAAGACAAGGCATTGATGGCTGCTCCATTTGGGGTAAGTGGCATGAGCAATTGCTGATATAGAAAGTTAATAAACTATTAGGTAATCTGGGACTTGGGAAATCATTTGTAATGCATTCTTTAATTATAATCTTAGCTGGGAGATTATGTTTAAAAGTAATCATATATTTCAATTAAAATGCAATGATCAAATCTTATTTATAAGACTTTAAGAGTTAGTTAAACAATAAAGGTTATTAAATTCTCAAGAAACTACATCAAATATCAAATGCTTCAGGCAAAGTCACTTCAACCATGAAACAATATTAATACAAATTAACAAATAATTAATAATATACAATAATATATAAAAATAAATAATATATAAATAATAAATAAAATAAAAATAATAAATAATGCTTTTAAACTCTCTCCACCTTCTGTAGTAGCCCTTTTCCCAATATTTACTGTGGCTTCCCCCGATTTTCCTATATATATATCCATTAACTCTTGCTTCGCCATCGCCTGATCGGCTGCCAATTGTATAATTTTGTCATTTCAGTCAGCGAAAAATGCAAAAAATGTAATTTGCAGCAACAATTGGGGGAAAGTGGTATTTTGATTAATCGTCGATTTGCATGCGAATGCGGAAATAAAATAAAAAATGCCAGCCAAGAAAAGCAATCCATACAAAAAGGAGTAAATGGAAATAATGTTTGTGAGCATTGACTTTGAGATACTCTGTAATAAGAATATGTATTAAAATATTTACAATAAGTAAGCCTATATAAAATAAGAGTACTATAAGCTTAAAATATATTAAACATTGTTTGGTTAATTTTACAAGCCATTGTTTAAAGCATTTATTATAACAATCTTTTGTAATATTAATTTAAAATTAAATTGAAATACTAACCTTTGCTCTCTCGTAGCCTTATATCCCCTGACGTTACCCCTTGGCTAAAGTGTATCACAACAACTTCCTGTTACATTTAACGGGCCATGGAAAACCCAGACCGGACGAGTGCTAAAAAAAAACGAAAAGGGAATAAAAATAAAAATAAAAATAAAAACAAGAAAGGAAGCTAACTTCGGCACGCCGAAGTTTGTATACCCTTGCAGATTGGTTTTGATGTTTATATTATAGATTTAAATGCTGAAAACACTCACAAAATAGAGTTTCATTACATTTTACCTATACTTATTATGTTTACAGTTTGACAGTTTCAGTTTTACATTCCCAGCTTTACATATTTTATACATTTACCGATCCCTTCTATGGCAGCTATAAGATATAGTTGTCCGATTTTTATGAAATGTATACCAAAATTCTAGAATAATAAAAAAAGCTTATATCTAAGAGTAGATAAACATACGTTGAAAAACAACGAAGCTATAATTTTTATACCCTTGCAGGATATTTTATTTCTAGTCCGAAGCTCATTACGCATTGAAGGAGTCATTTTCGACCCCATAAACCATATATATTCTTGATCAGCATTAACAGGCGCATCTTTCTGGCCATGTCTGGCAAAAAAAAATTTTTGATCAATTTTTTCAAAATTTTATAAGGGGTTACATCATTAAAATTCTCAAAATTTGAAACGATTTTCAATTTCTAACTAAGTATGCAGATTTGTTAACCTTACAAAAACTAACATAACACTGCTTTCCGAATGCAAATTAAGGCATTTTTGACAGAGTTATGCCTTTTTTAGTTTTTAATTTGCTATTTTTCTCTGTTCAATTACAGACTTTCCATCGTCATTGCCATCGCCATCGCTCCTAGTCATCAGTACCACCCACCCCGGACAAGAACCAAGGGAAAGGACCAACGACACACGCAAAAGGATGGTGGATAAGGGATGGGAACGGAGGAACAGGGATCAGGAATCAGGGATAAGGAGAGAGCACCGCCAGTCAAATCTGCCGGCTACTTTTACAACAACAGCAACGAACACAACAAGCAACATTTTAATTTTTAAATACTTTATTTTATTCCATGTTAATGAACTTAAATAAAAACAATGAAATACATTATTTTATATTATTTTGTTTTATTTTATTTTTCCTATATAATTGATAAATAAACTCCCCAAATTGTCCAGCTAAAGCAGCCAAATGGTTTTATTCTTATTGGAAATATATGCTGTATTGCCATCTCTGTCTATTTGGGGAAACGGAAGTAGCCAGCATATTGGCTTTCTCCTTCACTGATTTACTTATATTAAATACTTTATATTAAACACTGGAAATATGGTTAAATTCTTTAAATCGATATTTATACATATTTTTAATTGATAATTTGTTTTGGACAAATTAAGCGAGATTTTATTTTAATGCCGATGGCGAGGACAGAGAGCGTTGGCAAGGAGGATCTGGACGAGGAGGGAGCTGGGGCAGCACGACGAGGGTGCCACTAAGACCGAGCCGAATCCACTGGGAACCACCTCCGATATTCCCACCTGCTTCACCTTTTTTTATTTTATTTTTTTTTAAGCTGAAATAAATAATAAATAAAAAAAAAAGTGTTATATTAGAGTTAGGAGGAGGATGCGGGTTTTTTTTGGTTGGGATAATAATAATAATTTAAATAAGCTCAATAGAAGAGCATTCTTGCGGTGGTAAGTATTTTGGTTGATGGTAAGTACCTAGATTTTTGTAGATTTTTCTAGATATTTTTTTTGATTTTTAAAGATCTTTTTAGATTTTTTTTTAGATTTTTTAGTTTTTTTAAAGATTTTTTTAGATTTTTTAGATTTTTTTTAGATTTTTTTGATTTTTTAAACATATTTTTGAAAATTAACGGCCAAACTCGAATTTAAATTTAACGTCCAGTTTCAGTGTGCCCAGGTGCATTTAGCAACATTTTAGACAGAAATTAACAATATGGTCACATCTGGTTTGAGTCTGTGCTTACTCCAAGATCAATGGTTCGAAACTTGGACTTTTTATAACAGTTTATACCAGTTTTCAGTTGCTTGCTGCTGGTTTCTGTTCGCCTGGTATCCCAGTTTGGGAAACGGCCAATTTGTATGGAAAATTGCAGAAATTTGGATGGGCTGCTGTAGGGATGTTGTTGTAAAAAGGTTGTTGTTGCCATCAAGCTGTTGTTGTCGACAACAAATAGGTATAAATGCATAAAATGAAATTAACAATATGGTCACATCTGGTTTGAGCCTGTGCTTACTCCAAGATCAATGGTTCGAAACTTGGACTTTTTATAACAGTTTATACCAGTTTTCAGTTGCTTGCTGCTGGTTTCTGTTCGCCTGGCATCCCAGTTTGGGAAACGGCCAATTTGTATGGAAAATTTCAGAAATTTGGATGGGCTGCTGTAGGGATGTTGTTGTAAAAAGGTTGTTGTTGCCATCAAGCTGTTGTTGTCGACAACAAATAGGTATAAATGCATAAAATGAAATATAACAGTTTATACCAATTATTAATTTTGCCCAAAAGTTTTTATAACAGTTTATACCAGATTTCAGTTGCTTGCTGCTGGTTTCTGTTCGCCTGTTACCCCAGTTTGGGAAACGGCCAAATTGGATGGAAATTTTTGCTCACTTGCATCAGTGATGCTCATCTGTATCAGTGATGCTCATCTAGCTATATTGCAATATTTGGAGGCTAGATGCTCATTCAGCTATATTTCAATACTGGGAGAAAATAGCTAGATGAACATCACTGGCAGTTAGTGAGATGCCATTTTGTCCCAATAATGCAAAACAGCTAGATGAGC